CATTGTTATTTTGGGTATTTTTACAGCTCTAGTAAAACATGAACACAAACATTGCATTAGAGAACTGGGTGATGAGAAACTTTACTGACCTGGGTGATGAAAAACATGAGTTGGATGATGAGAAACACTGCATTACTGAGCTGGGTTAAGTTGTGTTAGGTCAGGTCATCTTAAGTTAGACTATGCTATCTTAAGTTACGTTATGCTAGGTTTGGTTAAAGTTATGTTAGGTTAGGATAAAAATTACACAGAAGTCTATGAAGATGACACATGGCTTCACTCTGCCTTGTTGATGGTATTTCTCATCACCCACTAGAACTAATGTAGTGTTTCTCATCACCCACTAGAACTATGTTTCTCATCACCCACTAGAATTGAAGTAGTGTTTCTTATCACCCACTAGAAATATGTTTCTCATCACACACTAGAATTGATGTTATGTTTCTCATAACCCACTAGAATTGAGGCGCTCAGCATTAGAGGGGGGGGTGAAGTGACACTCTGGCCAAAATGCGTTTTTTGATGGATATCACTATTTTCACCCGTTGGATGTAACGCTCTAGCTAGAATAGAAATATGGTAGAAAGTCCTTCAAAATTAGGGGTGATTTTGCCTCAGGCCTGGAGCTACGTATCTGGCTGTGCGCTCAGTCAAAGAAGGTGGCAACTTCCCGTTCAGAGCGAGAGGAGAGCGAGCCAATGAAAGCGCGCCTCCCTCGGACCATACCCCTGAGGTAGCCAATCACAATGGATTTCCCCTTGCTATGTCACAGCTCCTCGGCCAATCCGCGCGCCCAGATGCTGCCTCCTTGTTAGTTTTGGTGCATTGTATAGCATAAGGAGGTTCAGTATACTTTCTATGGCTATTTTTGATAACTTTTCGGCGTAACAATGATGTTATTCATCCACGGGTGTGTAAAATGCTGTGCAACATCTGCCCGATATTGGAGCAAGAGTTGAGTGAGGCCAGGCCTTCTGGTATAGGTTCAGGAGCACATTATTCCTGAACGTGTGTTTAGTGATGACAGTGCTCACGTGGACATCCTAGGAATGCTTGGTGATAGTGATAGTGATTTTGGTATACTCATCATACAAAAAGTGACTGCTATGCATCACAAGACCTTTTTGTAGACTATGTTCCGGTACAGAGTTACGTGACATGCACTGACAGCAATAATGATGATGAAAGTGAAGATGAAAATGATGAAAGTGAGTCTAATGGTAACAGAGTGACACTAATGTATCACAACAAGAACATACAGACTGTGAGGAGGTAGAAATGGACAGTGACGAGGCATGCATTGACCTTGATAGTGATGAAAGTGTGCCTGAACCAACGAATGCTAATGAAAGTGAGCCCATAACTCAATCTTATTATGAAACTGAACTGTTGCTGGCATCAAAAATCAATGATTTAGTTCATGAAGAATCTGTGTGGCGATTTTTAGAGAGGGCAGAAAAAGACTTTGATCAGTACATGATTGATTATGAAGAGGCCATTTAAGTTAAACGCACTCCTCAGGATTTACGTAACTTCAAGTTACTACGATATTCAGGGATAATAAAACGAAGGAACTAAACAAAGTAAGATTGTAATACTATTATCAGAATACTCTCTTAACCAAAGAATATGCAAACTTTCTAAGCCTTTGTATTCGTCTGTTAATTACGTTGGGGGGGGGTTCATGGTAGGGGGTGGGATGAGTGTAGTGGTGTTTCCTCATTATTACACACTATTAAACTTAACAATATTATAAATCTTTGGCTAATAATAGGGACGGAAAGATAAATACTAATAGGCAAATGAGTTTTTATTATTATTTTTGGGGGGGGGGGGTGGTAAAACGAGTGCTGTTTTTGGTTATCATTAACTTGTTTTACAGTATTAACCCACAAATATTAATAAAAAAAAATTGCAGAAAAATGCGATTATTGTTGGTTTGAAGATCAAACAACTCTACATCACGGGTTATTTTCATTCAACTCGCAATAAATTAATAACTATTCACTGTACTAATTTCCAGTTGTCACAGTTCGCTAGGAGAGGGATTAAGCTGCACGATAAAAAAAAGAACCCTCTAGCTTAAAAAAAAAGTTATGGTTGTTTGAACCTTGAAAACTTTCAACGTGTTTTTCTCAGCTTTTTGAATTTGGAGCTTCACCCCCTTCTAATGCAGAGTGCGTCAACTGATGTAGTATTTCTCAAAAAGTTTCACTAATGATTAGAAATACAAAAAACAACACAGGGACAAAACTTTTCATATATCTTTAGGAGGGTGTGAGGATCACAGGGTGTGTTAGGAGCACAAAGTGACTTAAGGTCAACAGCTAGAGGATATTAAGGCAAAGTGAAGGTTTGGGGACAGTAGAGTCAGAGTGGAAGATTAGGTAAAACAACAGTGGAGACTTAGGTAGAGTCAGAGTGGAGGTTAAGGTGAGCACTCTTCATAACCAATGTCATCATTTGGTAGGTTATACTCACCAGCTTGACTCCTGAGGGCGGGTTCTTCATGGCCTTGACGACGCGTATGTCATCTTGTTTGAGGGTGTTGAGGGCATCTGTGGCAGCATTGAGAGCTGGTACTGCCTTGGCGAGCTCCTTTTCACAGTCGTCTTTTATGGCCTGTGCATCGGCAAACTTCTTATTGGCCACCGCCTCGTCTGCCGCCACCAACTGAGAACAAATTTGTTATCAACAACCAAGAAATGAGATATGTTATCTCTTTCATCTTTTTTTTTTTACCAAGAGAGGCAGGGTTAACATTAGAAGGGAACATAAAACACGAACACAAAAACAGCAATAACTAGCAAGGTGTTCATGATAGTAACAAGAACCTTGCCAATGACAATATTTTACATCAAGATCACAAAACACTGACTGAATTGTGACTACAACATTGGTTTCATTGTGGTATCTTCAACAACCTTCCATGTTTCACTTATGTTTGTTCTTCTGGGTTTGGGGAATTATACTTGTGTTTGTATCTATGAACAAAATATATAAAAGAATGGGAAGGGTAGCTTCGATGAAACCTGGCAGGCTAAAAGGTTATTTACCTCAGAGAAAATAAATAAATTTGGGCAAGTAAAGCTAAAGAATAGACTGGTGAACTCTAGTGAAACAGTCTTTTTTTTTATCCTCTTCACCACTGATTGGCTCGTTAGGTGCTTGGGCGATCGGTCACGTCTCTGTTACTTTTCCTTTTCTTTTATCCTCTTCACCAAATGATCGTCAAGGGTTGAGTGTAGGCAAAGGAAGAGGTAATTGAAAGCTAGGGTAAATATATTCAAAGTCATGGTCACAGTCACATTCCACTGTATGTGTCTGTTGTCTACACAACTCTTTATTAGAGTTAATGAAACTTGGGACTATAGGTTGCTGTTGATTAAGAGAAATCTAGTCTAATTTTGGAGAAAGCAGGTCAAGGTCACACTTACAGTTCACAGTCAAAGACAATATATTTCACATCTGTTAAATTTACTAGGTAGATTGAATGATCAATAACCACATAAATTTTTTATGTATTTTAGTGCATGAAATATAAAGGGCTCTTTGAACTTGATTTCTTATATATTTTCTCTTAATTTAAAGAAGTTAGTTGTCTAAACCAACCAATCTATCTAATTTCATTAAAAACAATTAACTCGCTTCGACATATTTTCTACACAACCAAACTCACACATGTAGTGTAGTTATGGCACCTGGTTGAGTATTATCTGTAGTACATTTCTGCACTTCAACATACACACTGTACCATCTATTACAGAGTTAGAGATACATCTTTTTGTTATAGAATTATTAATAGTATTAACAGGTAAGTTTGACAAGTGAAAGATAACAGCTTCACACCTCTTGTTTCCTCTCCACTTGGATGGTGTCTTGTTCGATCTTGATCATAAGTGCCTCCGTGTTGGCAGAGGTCTCCACTAGGCAGGGCTGCAGCAGCTTTAGCTCTTCTTGCAGTTCAGTGATCAACAGCTTGGCCTCTTTCAGTTTCTCCAGACCTGTCACATACCTTCAGAGATGAAATGGTTAATGTTTTTGGCACTAAGAATGCATATTCATACATTTAAAATAACTTGGGCACAATATTATTGATTTTCACAAGTAAAATAAAAACAAAATCGAAGTTGGGTCGGGTAATTCTCATAGACTAAAATTCATCAATAGATGTACAGTATAACATTACTAAAGCTGGTGATGAGCTTCCTGAGCTTTACCTGTCCCGTAGTGTGAGGATCTCTGAGCGCTTCTTAAGGAGGAGCTGCTTGAAGGTGAACACGAGCTCCAGGTAGGAGGTGGGTGTCACAATGTCACATAGTACCTCCGCCGCAGCTGCTCATAGAACCTGTAGGAGCACTCATCAAGGTCTCATGTATGTCTGGTTAATTAAGGTATTGGAGGGCTACCAACGTCTCATGTACAGTATGTCTTATGGTTTTAATGAGGTCTTGGAAGCCCACCAGGTTCTCATGGGTTAATTAATGTCTTGAACCCCTGGGCTTCAAGTCAAGTCATATGGTGTGCATCTATAGAGCTTCAGGTCACCTCATATGAAATTTTGACATTTAGTGGGCCTATTTGAATATAAAATGCACTAAACTAACTCAGAATAATGGGATAAACTCTCCTGTCTCATGTGGTGACATGCGAACTTCACATGCTACCACCTACAATGCCTTAGTACCAATCGCGTCTCAAGATGCAGAGGTCACGTCGATCACACTTGCCCAAGCCCAGCACCTCCATTCCCAGCTCCCAAGCATGCCAGATAAGTGGTCCTATGCCTGTGCAGTACTATTATTTTCTACATGATCATCATTGGCCAGTCAGAAGTTAAAACACAAACAATCAAACATGGATGTTTTATTGAAGAGAGTTTTCTGACTGTGGTAAACTGTATTTACATAATTAAAAACAAATTTCTAGTATAAAAAGACAGACATCAGTCTATAGATTGCTCAGGTTTGCCTACTTGAGAAACAACTGGATAAATGCTAAAATGAAATCCACACGAAGCAGTCTTTGACCCTTGGTAGTTAAACTGAAAATGATAACATAAGCAAGGTTTGGATGTCCTTGAAACTACCTGTGGGCAAGGTCATCAATGCTGTGGTGGAAATACTTGCAGACAGTGACACAGTGAGCCAACAATGATGCCTCCAGTTTAGTTTCCTGCAGCAGTGATGTGGCCACCATCTCCAAGGCATCATCAGGCCATGCAGTAAACCTGAACAAGAAAAGGTCATAATCTTGTGACTCTACAGAATTATACTGGCATTTGCCATTTAACAGAACTGCATTCTACAGAGTTTTGAAGTTATGGAACTCAAAAACAGAGGATATTAGTCACTAACGATCTACTGTCTTCCTAATAGAAAACGAGCTGTGGTTGCCATACTGACCAGAACGTATAAAAAATTGTCCCAAACACAATATCTGAGAGAGAAACAAAATAAAAGTCACCCGATTTCCTCACCGTGCTAAGATGTATAAATACCCTATATAAAATCCTCGTGGCACTTAGTATTTCAGCTATTACAACAAAAATTTTAGCGGTGCTTTCATTGTGCGTATTTACACCCGATTCGCCAGGCAAGACGATGACGGTAGCAATGCGTGTGATGGAGGGTGTGGGAGGGGGTTTTGAGAATTGCAATTAAATGCCAGGTAGCGACGTGTCCTCGAAACACATCGACCCCATGGTTAACAATACCTTTTTTTTTGGAGGACTGTACATTTCATTCTGCAACCTGGCATTTGTTTGTGTTTTTTGTGTATGTTTTTTGTATATGTGTTTCCATTGTTTTCCTAAGCTTGGCCAGAGGACATTAAGTGCTAGAGGCAGCAGTGGCATTAAGAGAAACAGGAAGGCAATTAATCTGATGTGAAATTACATGACAAGCATTATGTTTCTTGCTGGTAACTGTACTACAGTATTATTTCTATTTATGATTTTATTTGAGTAGCAGGTATTTATTATACTATTTTAGTGCGTATTTACTTGATACATATAGTAGTACTGTATTATATTTTGGGGGGCAAAAATTTTCCCTTTAAGAAGGCAAAATTTTCTTTGGAAACACATTGCCAATTATTATTACAGTATTGTTATTAATGAAATTATTATCATTATTATTATTAGCATTATTATGACAGTATTACTGTACATTATCATTATAATTCTTACTAATCTTATTGTTACTGTATTACTATTATTATAAAGCCCTGCATAAAAAGGATTAGCACTATAGATAATATCAATGAGCTCTCACATAGCACTGAAAGTAAAAACCTGTAAAAAAAATTTTTATTAACTTTCTAAAATCCTATAAGAAGAAACCATTATTGTACCACAACAATATTATACACTACACTACCACAACATTACACACTACGCTACCAGGGACACCTGACAATACACAAGTGAGGGACACCTGGCAACACACTAGTGAGAGGACATCTTCTAACACATGAAGCAGTAGACCCACCAGGACCTACCAGTCTATAGTGCAGCAGTTAATGAGGGAGGGGAACATCCTGAGCCTGGTCCTGAAGGTGTCGCCTATGGGGGACATGGCCACTACCAAGTGCAGGTTGGCCCTCACTCACTCGTTGAAGTAGCCAAACAGTGTCATAGGTGAGGAGTCCATCTTCTTACCCTTATTGGGATATTAATCTGAGGTTACAATATGTATTATATTGGTTGAGGAGTGTGGTCCACATTATAAATATAAGATGACCCAATGAAACAATTATCAGATGAAAGTAGGATACTCTTTCTTGTTGGGATATAAAAATTTTGTATCAATTGAAGATAACTGAAGATTAGTTTTCCCAGCATATTTTACTACAGTAGGTTAGGTTAAGTTAGTGTTAGTGCTTAAACATCAGATGAAATAAGCTGAGATGCTTAATCTTCCTGTGGTCCCAAAATTTTCAATGTTTAGCTGGACCTAACTCTAATAAACAAGATAAATATAGTGAAAATACTGTACAGTACCGTACATCTATAAACTATATCTGAATTTCTAAGTTATGTATACGTAGCGCTCAAGAACAGTAAAGTGATTTATCTACATGAATGAGTAAATAGTGCATAACACTTTTTCAAAAAGTATACATATCCTAAATATACTACAACACAGCAACATGTACAGTATATGGTCAACAAGTGCATTACAGGAAACAAGTAATAACACAACTAAATTACTATTATGAGCAGCCCACCATGGTATCAATTCCACCTCTACGTATATTTGTGATCTTACTTCACGAGTTTAGTGATAAGGCTCTAGCACTCAAGTTGACGCGCACATGTTCCCTGACTCCATTAGTGAAGGAGCCATAATAACAGAATCTTGATCTTCCAAACCCAGCCAGGGCAAGGATTCTCAAAGCTTTAGGCTTTGTACATTAAATTGTTTCTCATAAATGGAGATAAAGCAAGGTTTCAAATAAGCAGACATAAGAAAGAGCATACAAATAATGTTCAAAATGGGTTCCAAATTATACTGAGCGTCTACCTACACTGGTACTTTATTTTATCACCAATTAGAGGTCAAAGTTAACATGAATTCTGACCCAGTATTGTCAACATATTGTAGTAAATGTTAACATGAATTCTGACCCAGTATTGTCAACATATTGTAGTAAATGTTAACATGAATTCTGACCCAGTATTGTCAACATATTGTAGTAAATGTTAACATGAATTCTGACCCAGTATTGTCAACATATTGTAGTAAATGTTAACATGAATTCTGACCCAGTATTGTCAACATATTGTAGTAAATGTTAACATGAATTCTGACCCAGTATTGTCAACATATTGTAGTAAATGTTAACATGAATTCTGACCCAGTATTGTCAACATATTGTAGTAAATGTTAACATGATTGTTCTATAAACTATAAACATTGGATGGTATGATCGAAGACTGAAAATAAGTTGTTTACAGAAAAAATAAACTTTGAAGCTTCAGTGAATAATGAGGTGCTGTTGTCTAGATGAGCATGTGTGGCAAGGGAGGCCCCCAGCCCTCGTGGGGGTACTGGCTGCTCTCTGCCATGATAACCTACAACTATGCATAAGCCATTATTGAACAAGTTCTTAAACATTAAGACACTGAACAATCTACAACTATGATCAAATAATCAGGAAAATTATTCATCCTCGCCTTAACCTTCAAGTAAGAGGTTGGTTATATTGTGGCAACTTCCTATTAATGGGTCATATTTCATAGTTTCACCATTGATACAAGTTAACAACAAATTAAGGCTTTTGTGCTTCTTTCCATGACTTATACTCACTATTGTTCTTGATACTTGAATGTGAGACTACAGCATATCAAGTGTAAAAATATTGAGTGACCATTAACGAATAAGTCCGAACTAAACTACTGGGTCAACAGTCTGATGGTCCAGGGTGGCGCCTAGTACACAGCGACACTGCTGTAAAGCTGAAAAGTGTAAGTAATGTGGGCAGATAATAAACCTTCATATGTGCCTAAGATAACACCAAAAAATTTTGAAATTGAACAATATGGTGCTGACAGGGTGATAAATTCCAGGACTCTTGTCTTGGGCATGAGTATGGACATGTATCACCTGTGTGGTGTGTGAGGAGCGTTCACTTTGCTGTCTGATGCAGCTGAGGTGACCCTCACGAGCACTGCTGATGCAAGTCTGCCATTACTTGCACCGACATTTACTGTGGTGGTGCAGCACTGTTGTGCACCTTTATCCCACTACTATGGCATTTTAGTAATTTTGGTAAGAAAGGTGTATTGCTGCCATGCTGCAACACACAAATGTCTTCATCTGGATAAGTTGGCTATTAATTGTTTGTTGGAATTATTTCATCAGTTTTAGCCCGTAAGAGGGATGTTACTGAGACAATGGCAAGACCTGTGGCAGATCAACACCAGGTCACCACAACATGCTCGCAACACTTCTCACAGTAAGGCACACCCAGGACCTTACTACTCCCTGTATTGAAGGGTTTATTGCCAACTCTTTTGTGTTGGTCAACAACAGTAATGGTTTGGCTTTCTCCAGACAATTTACAACATGCATGAAATTCACATTCTTACCACGTCAAGCCCCTGGAAAACAACATGGACTTGTTAGTCGTGTTTCCTGAAAGTCATTATCAAGGGTTCCAAATTATTTTGAGTAAGTAAAGAAGACATTTATAGTGAGTTTATGCATCTAAAAATCAATTTCATGCTAATTCTGAATCCCTTAACTTAAACGTGTAAAATTTTTTGGGTGGACCGGGGAAATATATATCTCCTCACCACCTACGTATTTAAAGTAAATTCAGTTAGCATGTCACTAATTTTAAGACCAATTGTAACGTCATGAACACCTTCCTTATTCACACTTCAACACAAAAGGTTCTAAAATCAGTATTGTGTCAGTCTGAACCCCTGATATGACTCCTGAAGGTGCTGTGAATTGGCCATGACTAACACAGGACCAAAACACTATAGTTCTCTTTTGTCCTCACTACCAGGTCTTAGGTCATATATCTCAGGTGTCAGGCAGGCTTTATTACATACCATCTCACAAAATGATTTCTTTGCTACAACCACTACAGTGTATTTATTTGATAATCAGTTTTTGTAAAAAAGAAGAAGAAAGAATGCACATTACTCCTGAAATAATATCATACAAAAATCAAGTTGACTATAAAAGTACCTACACAAACTAAGAATATTTACTTCCATAGTATTACTATAAAAAATAAAGTCTGTTAATTCCAAATCATTTCATGCAAAAATTGTCTCCACTATTTCCAAAGTTTAAGTTAACAATTGGATAGCCAAAAATTTATTATCAGCTATTTAGGTCTACTGGACACTGTACATCCTACCTCTGGGTGGAGGAAGGGTGCTGGGGAAGGGCTAAGTTGGAGCAAAAAGTTCTCTCAGTCAGTCAGTCGATGTCACTCAGGAAAAGGGTTCATTGATTTGCTAAATACAGTTATGCACAGATTTAACAGATCACCTGAAGATTGCCTCCCCCAACTTGTTCCACTTGAAGATTAACCATTCTAATACAATACACGACAAACCTAACACTAACCAAACCTAACCGACCACCCTAATGCAAACCTAACCTAACCTAACCCTCCCCCCCCCTTCTGATGGGGTTATTACTGATAATCTTTAGGTGAAATAAGCCTGGGGCAGGTGAATTTTCAGGAGATCCAATTTATCCTAATAGTTGTTGGCAAAGTAAGTAAGTACAAAACAGGCATCCCCTGCCTTATAGAAACTCACCTTATGGAAATTCGCGCTTACGGAATTTGGTAATTACTGTATGACCAAAAATTCGGGATATGGCTAAAAAAACTTCACCCTTACGGAATTTGGGTAAAAAAAAAAAAAAAGCAAGCCAAGTTCAGCAGTAAAAATATTTGACATTATTAGAGCTCAAGTCGTAAGAAAGATAAGGGATGACTAAAATTTATATACAGTTAACCCTCACTTTAAGCAGTCCCGCATTCCGCGTTTCCACGTTAACGCGGTGCCTTGCCAGAACCTCACGTGCTCAAATTACGCGGTACGTGAACCCCATTACGCGGAGAGTGTCCGGCGCGACGCTATTTTTAGATTCACCCCACCCGCCCGCCTGCCTGCCTGTGCTCCTCGCCTCCTCCCTCCGCTTGGG